CGAACCCAGGTCTGGGTTCGCCTAGGAGAAAAAGAAAAAGGAGAAAAAGAAAAAAAAGAAGAGGCCGGAGGAAGGAGAGGATGGGGAAGAAAGAAGAGGGTAAATTAGTAATTAAAGGAAAAAATTTTACCATGTCATCAATATTTGAGGGCAAATCAGTAATTAAAAATAAAAAAATTTAGCATGTCATCAATTTTGCCACGTGGATTTTCCACGTAATTTAATAAAAAAAAGGGAATGAGTGTTTCTGTTAATTAACGTGCCACCTCAGCCAAAATTTAACGGAGGGACTAAAAAGGGGCCGGATTTGTGAATAGTAAGGACCAAAAAGGGAATTTTTTCGGTACAGGGACCAAAAAAGGGCTTTTTCCTATAGTAGAGGGACCAAAAAGGGTATTTAACCTTTTAGTTTTTAGTTTTCACTACTTCTTAAGAAGTTCTTTGTATTCTTGCATAAATATGGTTAGGTAGATGATAAATAGATTTTTCATTGGGAGCTTTGTTGGGACAAATGTGGCCATTAGTAGAAAAAATCAATGGAAAAAAATTTTTGAGCTTATGTTTTGTCCTTTTTTTTTTTAGCTCTTCAGTCTTTTCTTAGGTTCTCATCTCTTTTACTTTGGTTTTTGGTGAGCTTATGTTTTTGTTCTTTTCAATCTTCATGGAAATTTGTACTCATTGAATTTTATTTTTCAATAGGCACAAGCGGCCTATCAAGAGGTATTTAATACTCACTCATACCTCTTCGTTCTGGTTTCACTATTTTCAAAGTTTACTCTCTCAATTTTTTTTTTCATTTCTTTTTATTGAATTTTTGAAATTTTAGTTATCATTGAGTTTCTTTCCATTGAATTGTAGGTTTCGGATGCTAATAGTGGGCAAGGTTTTTCTCCAAATAATGGTTCCTCTTCACATTCAAGCCATCACCTTTTATCTCGCCAAAATGAAAGTAATGAAGAAAATGAAAGGCAAAGGGATTGAAAGGCATGTTTGTATCTTTTCTTGGATCTGTAATTTTTGGCGATAAGCATTTAATTGAACTTCTTTGGATTCTACAATTTCTGTTTTTGCCTAGATCTATTGTTTTGAGATTGATTTATATCTATAGAATTCCTCTTTTATGATTGCTAATTTAGTGCATTAATTAACTAATTGTTTTTTTAATTTTTTATAGCATTTTTTATTGTGTTGAATGGTTTGATCTACATAGACTAGCTTAGCTTGAGCTGTTGTGTGCTTTGGAGGGATTGGTTGTGTGCTTTTGGAGGGATTGATTAATGCAAATGGTTAGGAAATTTCAATGTTGTGTTTTTTTCTTTACCATTTGTGTGCAAATGGTTAGGGATTGAATCATGAGGAAGAGGGGATTGATTCGTGCAAATGGTTGTGTGCTTTGGAGGGATTGATTTTGTAGCTCAGAAAAATGGTATTAATAATAAGTGCAAAAAAAAATTATAAAATAACAGTGAATTATCAATTTAAAAAAAAAAAAAGATCTATACCAGCGGAATTATCCATCTGTATAGGTCAGGGTCTATACCCACGGCAAAATCTCTTAAAATTTCTCAGGGTCTATACCAACGGACAAGTTTTCCATTAGAATAGAACCTAGGGTCTATACATACGGATTTGTCGTCGGTATAGACCCTATACTGACGAGGTTTGCACGACTAAAAGTTCTTCCATCGGAATAGTCCCAGGGAGTCTATACTGACGGAAAAAGGGTGTATACTAACGAAAAAAGGGTGTATACTGACGGAAAACCTCCATCAGTATAGGTACATTTGATTGTAGTGATATTTAATTTTAGATAAAAAATAATTTTTTTAATAAATATATTGTACAATATATTAAATCAAAATGTGTAATGATAACTATCCTTAAAAAAAATGTTGGAATCAATGATGATACATTGATGCTAACTATACTACTCAATTCAAAACAAAATGGCCATGATTTCATTATAATATTAAAAGTACTAGTGGATATTGGAGAACCTTAGAAACCCCAAGCTGCGACCAAGCTTTTCATGAAAAGGGGAGAGCTCAATGGAATGTTCAAGGTTTCATGCACATGCTTGTTCTGCTTTCCCATGAAATTTTACCACTTGAAGAGAGAAGGTGGACATGCACCTCACCTAGTAAGAACCTACCTACATATATTCAAATTGATCACTGCAGACCCCAGAGATTATTGCTTAACAAAAAGCTTAAACCTAACTTTAAAGCCTTAATCATGAGGACTCGTGTTAAATTAACAACTATTTAATTGGATAGACAAGAGCGGCTGCCATCATCAGGCTTCCACGTACCACAAAGACGAAACATTAATGTTTTAAATTGTTTGAGAAGCTGCCTCACTCTGAACCTACATTAGTTGCACGAAATTCAAAATGTTTTCCACAATACGCGAATCTTCTTTAGCTCACTAGTCACTAGACTCTTGAAAGATGATTCAAGTTAAGCAATGATAAATCTTAGTTTCCGTTTTTCAATGGGAGATAAGCCCTCGGTAGTTTCTAATAAAATGCAATGTGATAAATCCCTGAAATTTTTTTTTTTTTTAAATGGTGATGTTACACATACAAGGCATTATGTAGTATACTAAGATATTAAGTGAGTGAATAAATATAATATATTAAGTAAATTTTTGAATAAAAAAATTAATTATATATGTTACATTGGCTAACTCATATTGTATTACAAATTATATTATATATATATATATATAAGGAACTTGCACATATTCACCTTATCTTTCAATTTTAAAACTATGTTATTTTAATAAACTCTCCTTAACAAAGATTAAAATACTTTATTTTTTAAGCATGAATTAAGGTATTTTTTATCCTATCTCATGGTGTTTTCTTGAAATGATATGTTTTAAAATAATTTCTTTCCTAATCTTTAAGAGATAAGGCAAATAAACACTACCTTATATAATATATATATATTTTTTTTCTTTTTCTTTTTTTCTTTTTTGGTTTAGTGATTTGGTTAAACTAGGTCATTTGCGAAGAGACTAAAGAATTTATAAAAAATTATCTTCTTATTAACCTCCATAGAAAATGGAATTTTGGTCAATAAAGTCATTAAAAATTTGGAACAAAAACCCTCTTATTGCTTTGAAGCAGCCCTAAAATGTAGGTTTTTATTTTATTTTATTTTATTTTATTTTATTTGTCAACTAAGAAATTTTAAATTTTATTATTTTGGAGTACAAAGGTACTCCAACCCATAAATAAGATTACAACATTCACTCCATTGATCATAATTCTCTATACTCCGAAAAAATGCGTCCTCAAGCACCTAAGGCATTAATTAATTGATTCAGCACAAGCTCTTGGGTTGCTGCACCACTCAAAAAGGGAATAATAGAACCCAAAATGTAGATTGTGTAGTAGAAAATTCATCATATTCTTCACTGAGCTTCATTTTTATTTTTTTTTACTATTTACTAAATGTAGATTGTTGGATCATGCTCTAAGTTTTTTCTTGCCCACAGGTTTTGGTATGACATGTATATAAGCTGACTACCTCTTGTATTTCTATGAATAAATGTTTTTTGTTTGAAAAAAAAAATAGTAAACTTTCTTACTAATTAAGTTATAATTCTATCAAAGACACTGCTAATCTAGAGGCAAAATCTTTCCTTCTAACAATATATAAACAAGAGAAGGGTTTGAATCTATCTAGGGCATTTCTCAACATTTAATCCTTTGAAATGGTTTAATAATTAAAAGTTTAAAATTTTAAATTAGAGATTATAAATTTGAATTTTGAGTTCTATGGGGAGAAACTTAAAAAAAAAAAAAGAGGATTATTTTTTCTTATATAACCTATTAATATTATATATATCAAAGGAAAAAAACATAATTCTTTCTTCCTCGTATTGTTCTTTTATTGTCACATTTCTGTGGGCCCATAGAATCAGATGAGATATATGTCACCTTCATTGCTCCCCAATACTCCTGGTGTTGTTACGAACACATGCATGGCCTAATGTTACGGCACACACAAGAATCATTTTGAAGATTATGATTTTATATAATTTGATTATTAAAAATAATTGATAATTAATATAATAATTAATTATTAAAAAAATTTTGTTGTTAAAGGAAATAATAAAATAATTAATATTTATTTTTAATAAAATAAATTAAAATTAATTTATAAATTAATATTTTTTTAATAAAAAACAAATTTTATTATATAACTAGTAATATATTACAAAATTGTCAATAAAGAAAAACAGGGCATGATAGGAGGATCACCAATCTTGGGCAGCACTTGTCAAAATTTCTATGTGTGTGTTTGTGAGTGCAGTTGGGGTTTTTTGTATAGTTATATAGTACTTTTAAATATGTGTGTTTGATAATTTTTTTTAGATTATTTTTTTTTAAAAGCCACAAAAAAGTATGATAGATTTGCAGTAATTTTATATATAAAACTAGAAGTCTTGTTTTTGAACTTTATGATTATAACTTTTACGAAAAATACCTAATATTTAATATAATTATAAAACTACCTATTAAAACCAAATTTCGTATAATTTAATCACATTATAATTCATAATGTTTTAATAATTATAACAAATCTAAAAAACCTAAACTATTAAAAAATAATAAATATTATCTATTTTAATAATTATATATCTTACAATTTTTTTAAAATTTTAATTAATGATTAATAAAATCTATAATATTTCATTTATAATATTTTTAAAAAATAAAAAATAAAATATTAAAATAATTTTTAATTACAATTACAGTACAACAATGCTCAACATAGAACAGTCACATATAGTAATTCTAAACATATCCTCTAACTAGTCTAGTACCACTAATAATTTTTTCATAACACTAATCCTAATTTCTCTCTCCCGTAACTAAATCTAGCAGCCATAAAAGCAAAATGAATCCATTTTGCATTCAACTCTTGATTTTCTAGAATCATATCAAACCTAAAAAAATTTCAACTTCTGTCAATTAAATCTCAAAGAAACTGAGCCAATTCAGTCCACGGGTAGCCACCACCCAACCTCGTCGCTGCCAAAAAGATGAGGAGCATCGCCAGTGGCCGCCCTCCCTCCAAGCCAACCAAGATTATTGCCGTAATCCATCACACAGCCGCCACATATCCCCACACCACTCATCTTCTTCTTACTCCGTGCCAAGCCCCACAAGATCTACCCATGCTCGCTGTCCGTCCGCCCCGACAGGTCCCTTTCTCGCCTCTTTCCTCTGCCACTTAGCCCATCCAATGCATGGTGCCCCTTCCACCACCCTAGCCATCTCGAACCAGACACTGATCCCCTACCTCATCCTCCTGCACGTTCCAACTGACTGCCCTCCAGCCAGCGGCGCCTTCGCCTCCTCCGCATTCTCAACCTGACAGAGTTCAACGCTCCTAGTTTCCTTAACCCCTCCTCCAACCACCATGGCTATGTCCCAAGGGAACAGAAAAAAAAAATAAATAAATAAAAGCACGAACAGTCGCTGGATAAAAACCTTCCGCGTGGCCAAAACCCCAGTCAAGAAAAGAGTCAACTGGCTTTTTGAGTTGACATTTTTTTTTTTCTTGGTTATACAACAAGAGACAATCCTCTCTCATCTATTATTTCACTTCAGCTACATGTTATGTAACTTGAACTTAAGATCTCTTATTTCTATAAAAAAGATATTACTACTAAATTATTTAAATCGTTGGTATTGAATTGACATTTTTAAATATTATAACTAACAATTTAAAAAAATTATATATTGATATAATATCAATCAAATTAAATTTAGTAACATGTGACTTCAACAAAATTTTGTGTGATCATAACTACACTCTAATTCTCCTTCTAATATCACTTTGTTTCACTAACTTTAGTAGTTATTTTTTTTAAGGGTTTAAAAAACTTCTTTTTTCATAAATTTATATACAAAAATATAAAAATTAACATTAATTTTAATATTATTTTCACATAAATAAATTTAATTAAATAATAATATTAATGTTTATTTGTTTTACTTCTTAAAAATTAAGAGAAAAATTATTCTAAAACTATGCCGTTTCAAAAAAGTATAATGAGAAATGACTAAAAATACTTTAATTGATACTTTAAAAATAGAATATTTTAATTTTTTTCAATAGAAATTTATTACAATGATATAGTTTTAAAATAATTTTCTTTCTAATATTTAAGAAATAAGACAAATAAATATTATTCTCTTAATTAATTAATAAATAAAATATTAATTTTTATTTTTCAAAACTCTTAACCTCTCCCTTTAAAGGCACAAATTTTTTTTTTTTTTATCTTGGTTGTACAATAAAAGGCAAACATCTTCCATCCCTCGTCTCACCTACTCGCATGTTATACGACTCAATATTAGAATATTTTATTTCTAGTGAAAGAAGATGACTACTAACAAAAGGCACAAAATTTTAAAACCCTTTCTTTAATTCCTCGTCGACGTTTGTTGATTTAGAGCCTGTTTAGGCCATTGAAGTACCACTCGAAGGTTAGCTCACGCAGTACCTTTTTAGATTGTCATTTATTTTTCTCATAACTGGAAATATTTTGAATCGGATATAGGAGTAATGTATAAAATGCATTGAAAAGAGAAAAACCATGTGCACAATTTAATTACGAAACTTAAACGTGATAGTTGATGTGATATATATAATTGATATTTTTTATTTAAGAGTTTATTTGTAATAGTATATCAATTTATTTATTTAATATCAATCAATTGTAAATAAAATTGTGCAATTCATTTTTATTGTATGTAAAGATTATACATTAAACCTAGACCTATGCCTAAAAGCGGAAATAATTTTATTATTAAATTACATAACTGATGGTAATAAAATTGTATAAATATAGTTATGCATGTAGCATCCTGGTATTGAAATTGAGAGTTTTTTTTTTTAACTTTAGGAAAATACCTAATGTTGCTTTAAGGACATTTTCAGGCAGGATTGTCATATTAATTATGAAGTTCCTAATTTTGCTCAGTCTCGCTACACAATCTACATGCAAATTTGATCTTCGACAAATAAAATCTCTAGTGGAGTTTATGTGCCTTAACGGGTAATATAATAAAAAACTTCGCCTCTCCCTATAATTTCAAAATACAGAAAGATCATTGCGAGCACC